GAAGGAAATACGATCCCCGGCGACCAAATGCGGTCCCCTCACGGGGATTTGCCAACGTACGACGTGCCCCGTAAACAACACACATGTACTCATTTCTGATCAAAACAGACTTAAACAATGCCCTCTTGATGGCTTTTGCTGTTGCGTTTTACTAGTTATTTTTGTAATTTATTAGTTCGGCTCTTTTGTTATTGAGATGCAACTTAGAAGAAACTTTTTGTTATTAAACAATGTCCGCATACGACAACGGATTTACAGTGAACCCTAACTTTTGAAGAAGACGATTACGTCGGAATATTAGGCTCTTAAATAGATTCTTCCACCTAAACCTTCGAGAGGCCCATCAATACTAATGAAACTACTGTAGTATTCGTTCTCAAATGTTATTGTCGGCACCAATCATTTATAAGCTTCAGACTAATTCGAACCTGCATTGTGTAGTTCAAGTAGGTTGCAGGAATCTGCTCCTTTGAACCATTAAATCGCTTGTTTTGTGCAGGATTTTGACAAGGGACCAAATTCCCCTTATTTCCGGTTTTGATTTTTACTTCTCTTTGCAACCATGGAAAAAGTTCTTTCACTGAAACTTTGCTATATAAAACCTCTAGGTTCGTGCTAATGAACGGTTTTAATTCCATTCAAGTTGTTTTGGTTTAATCTGTTGCGCAATTTTTTTCAATGTTCTTATTACACATACTACAGTTTTATGGACCACTTGTTGTTGCAGGATTGTCGTCCGAGTTGCCACCAAAAGAAAGCAGCGCTGAGGGATGCAGTGCGCCGGATCGATATAGTCCTGTTCGGCAGCCTGTACGTTAATCAGTTTCGTTTTTGTACCTGTGTGTTGATTGAAGTGAGGAAAACAAGATTGCGGGCACCGAAATTGATTTCACGCACCCTGTGACTTAGATTTTTGGCGTGTATTTACTTGCGCGTGTATTTACTTTTATTTATTTGTTTTTATTCAGCGGATGTTTAGCGCATAGAGCAACAAAAAAAAACGACAGTTTTGCAACTAAATTTTGACATAGCTTCCCGTTATACAAACAATTTTTAAAAGAATCATTAACACGTTTATAAAAGTCACACATTTTGATGGAAATACATTCGAGCGTTATAACGAATTTTTTTGACACAGTTCGGTGACGGAGGGGCATTTCGCCATTGCTGGTACTCCACTAGTCCTGGTTTACAAGTCCTACTGCGGTGAAACCTGTGAAACTGTAAAAAGAGCACTTTTGTCGTGCCACCAATGGGTATTTGTATGGTAGTTTGCTGTTTTACAAGGGTTGACAGGTATCGCTTACAGGATTTGACGGGTTGTCTCTGCCAGCTTTGGCTGGTATCATCCTGCGCCTTTAAAGGTCTCCACAGGTCTTCACTTGTTAACTCAACAGGTCAATCGGCAATGGCAGAGGAGCGGAATGCCCCCCACCTTTCGTCGCCGACTTGCGCCCGGATTTGTTTTTCCTAAACTTGAAAGAATGCTAACTTATCTTCTCACTAGTTCTTGGTGAAATTCTAGATTTCACGGACACAGTCGCAGGATGCTGAACCTGATGAGTGGAATGCTTTTGGCGCTGTGAAGGAATGTGAAAATGGTGAGTTCCCTTTCCAACTTACTTCTGCTGTGCTGCTGATAAGTGTTATTCCAGAGGGCTGGTCGGCAGATTTTGGTGCTTTTGGAGAAGCTTCCCCCAAAGAGGAAGTTATAAATAAAGCTCCTGTGGTAGAGGATGCTATGTTGCCTGAGACTGTAGGTTTTACTTTTATCATGCCCACTATAATTAAAGTTTATTGTGTGGTTAAGGCGTCATCTCCCCATCTGGACGAGTTGTGTGATTCTATGGATCTGTGGAATGTTGACAGTGAAATAGGCTGTGATGAGGTAACTTGTTTATTTAGTTTGATGGAAACTGTTGATGTACTAACTAAATGAGATAGATGTGCTAACAAATGAACTAAACTAATATTATTGATATTTGAGGCTTACAATATCAGTGAGATGCTCGATTTGGATGCATCAAGCAAGGAAAGATATCGAGGCATCTTTTCACAGGTTAGTTTTCTATTCGACATAATTCTGAAGGCATGGATCGGGGTCAAGGCACATTAAAGGCAGTGGGCACGCCTGGTGGAGGCGGGCGGTTGTTGCCAGCGTCGTTGGTGGAAGGACTGCAGGGCTTCTGGCCATACCCCATTCAGCCCTTCCACCAGTGACGTTGGCAACAACCATCCGTCCCAGCGATCGTGCTCATCCCTTTAAACAACCCTCAACGATGGAGCTGTAATTGAGCCGCTGGACAAATGTTATTTGGCTCGCTGTTAAGGGTCTGTATTATTGGGGAAGGGGGGGAGGCGTCTCTTGTGAATTTCCTTGTGGAACATTAGCTGAGTGAATTTGTACTTTGGGTTGAAGGAGTCAAACCTGAAGCAGCGTACTGAAGGACTTATTAGCTTCACTGCCATGGCGTACCTTATCTGGAATGCCTTTCCTCACGTGAAACGTAACGTCTGATCTTGTAAGATCACCAACTTTTTCAGAATTCAGCCTTTCTTCTTTCATTTGGTTTATACACAACAATAGTCCGCAGACCAATTTTGTACTTTTGCGCTTGCTCTATTTTACAATTGATGAGATTTACAAGACGAGTTCCTTTTTATACTTTTTTTTAATCATAGAAGCTTTGACTTGTGGCTAGCTCTACGAATCGTGGAAGATGCGTTAGCGCTCAAATTTGAATGGAAGGGATCGGAGCATGGATCAAATCTGTTCAAAACCTTGCACGTTGACCCGGTAAGGTTTAGACCGTTTTATATATATTTTTTGTATTTTTGACGGTTGTTTGTTGCGTTCTGATCGAGGTAGTAGTGGTTTTTAAGAATGCCGTTGGACGTGGTTCATTGCCTCCGCTTTCGACATCTACTGTATTGGAGCCAACACCGTTTACTGCTAATGGAACAACGTTAGTTTTCTTGTCGTGGACACGTTTCATCTTTTCGTCATATTTCGTAAATATGTTTGTCAACATAAAATATACATCAGTCGAGGCTGCGCCAAAGTACTGAAAAAAACAAAATTTCGAGCGTGGCACTGCGGTATTAAATAGCAGTGTTCGGCTTAGTGGGCTACTAAATGGTACTCAGTGAAACTGGTGCAGGTGCACTTTTCGTAAAGACTTGTTGCCTTGCTACCAGTGCCCCCCCCCTTGTGCCATTTTGCAGCTTCACAACTTCACGTGTCTCGTCATGGTAGGACCAGTGAGTTAACATAAGCAACCAGCGGAAGTGCACAATGCGCTTGAATTTCGCTCTCGAAAATGAAGGGGTAATTCTTGGAAAACTGAGGCAAGTCGCAAAGGGGAATGTTCAGCGTGCATGTCAGAGTTGTCGAATGGAGAAAGTACCGAAACTTTCACTGTAAAAGTATGAGAAGTTCGCTCTCTCCGTTGGGTTGATGAAGGAGGTATACCCACGGAATTATGTTAGTTTTTAATATTTTGCGCTTGTTTGTAGTTTCCAAAAGTTACAAAAGGTTGTCGTTAGTGACAGCTATCAGACCGCGTCGTACGCTGAGGAATCCCCAGCGAGAGAATTTCATAGGCCGGAGGACATTTTCTGATAGTTGGTTATACCTGACCCACGCGTGTTATCCTCATCGATGGAAACTCCGCTTGGGGAGGAAGTCATTGCTTGCGGCTTTGAAGTGAGGGGGCCATATTTCGCTTAAGATATCTTAATTAATTTTTTTTGTTGTTAATCATACGCGGTTTCTATCGTTCCGCATGTGTCATGAATCCCCTCGCTCGACAGCAATGTTTTAAGGGAAATTGATAGTTTTCTAAAAAAAACGTCGCAAATGTTGATAGGAACCTGGGAAACTGGAAAAGTTGGTGAGGTGGTTACCAGGATGGAGAAGGAGGGATCGTACTAGAGGAGGAAATCTAGCAGGAGGGTTGTATTTTGCAAAAGTTCCCCAGCAACAGGACGTGCCCTGGTTGCTACGGCTTGAAAATCGTAGCAGTAGTACATTAAATTGGATTCTGTGGAACTTTCTACAAAGCCGATCGTTTTTTGCCCTTTGTAGTTAGAGTGAAAAATAGGAGAAATACGCCTAGGAGCTGCTGTTTTAGCAGAAGCCGCTCCCAAAAGATTTGCATATGTTTTTCATCATCGAAGTTTTTAGCGATTTACCATGTCCGAAAATTGTATTTGTTGTATTAATTAAAATTGTATTTGAAAAATATATTGAAAGCCTATTTTAGTCAAATTATAGGCGCCGATCGGTCATAATTTCGCGTGAAGAGGGAGCTTATGGTGCAAAAATTGTGGCTTCTGATGTTTCGACGAATCCTGTTCACAACACGAACAACTCAGCGGTCACTGCCGAGTCGCCATCTATTCCGCAAGCGGATTTTGATTGGGATGCATCTGATTTAACTAATCCAACGAAGGCTGCCAGTGAGTTTTTTTATCACCAGGATATTGAATTGAGGGGCTGGTTTTCCAAATTAAATGAGTCTGAAATTCAATCTCACTTCTAGAGTGTCCGGCGTAGCCAAGGCTTCAATTATAGCGCGTTCAGACTTCGCGATCGCGCGATCCGATCGCGTACTGGGATGGGTGAAATTCACACCGAGGGGGGGGTCATGTGTTTATTTAAAAGAGAACAGGAACAATAAAGCATGAACAAACATGACCCCCCCCCGTGTGAATTTCACCCATCCCAGTAGCGCGATCGGATCGCGCGATCGCGAAGTCTGAACGCTCTTAACAGCAAAGCACGCGGACTGTAAACAAGCGTGACCATCCATTTACTCGAAGTCTTTTTTGGAGATGCACCACAAATAATAACTATTTTCGAAGCACTCATCAGTTTTCTTGGGTCACTCATAAATCCTGTACATCTTCTCGGTTACAGTGATGATCCCTGCAAACAATAGGGCACGAGGCGTCGTACTGGAGCATAGCCAGAACAGCCTTTTCCACTAGTTACGGCGGGCTTCAGAAGGGCCAGTTGGCGGGCGAAGCCCCCCGGCTTTGTTCCAATCCTCGCCCCTTCACGTACCGTATAGTAAGCAGGGTTCATGACTGCATTACCCTGAATCTTCTAGAGAGTACTCTGTTTCAGATCGATCTTCTGCTCTTCTTGATGTCGACTTTCTTTCGGCAAATAGTGGAGGCGGTAGTTCATCGACTATTTCTACGCTTCAGAAAGAGTTAGATCAGCTTGGGCTCTCATCCAGTGAAACGCCCACACTTCGGAAACCGGCTAGTCAGCCGTAAGTTTTATGGAATATTTTTTGAATTGTCATACAAGTAGATCGGGTGCGGAACGTTACATCAACGTTGTGAAGACGTGACAAACTACATTACGCGCGCGGCTTTCGCACTAGGGCCTGAATGATGTGGCGTGCAATTACTGCATTATGTCAAGTTAGGCTGCGTTCATAGTTCTCGTCAGCGTTGTGAGCGTACTGCGGCGTTTTGAGCGTTTCGAGCCACTAGGGAAGCGCAGGTATCGATCCAGCGTGAAAGTATAGGTATCGATTTACTGTACAGCAGCGTTTTGAGCGTTCGCCAGCTTATACCAGCGCACAGCTGCGTTCTGAGCGACCAGAGAACTATGGAAAGCGATCTAGCGTCCTGAGCGTCCACTAGCGCTTTGAACATATGCCGGCGTTGTCAGAGTTTTTGAGCTTTCGGTGGGCAGTCGCTGAAAAAGCTGGCTCAGGCCTAGAATGTTAGGTGGATATGTATGCTTTTCTATCGCTTGAAATGCTGCCGTACGCTGGCGTAGGCTAGATCGATACCTACTTTTTCTTAGTCGCAGGTTTCTTCTACGCCGAGCACAACGGGCCCCTCCTGACATACTCCTGAGTCTGCGGCGAAAACGACCGTAATAGCTGACTAGTGCGCGTCGCCAGAACGAGGATGTAAGAGGACGTCCATACGTCAGCTTCTGAGAGCGCGGCAGTGTTTCGAGTGATAGAAACTATAAGTATTGATCTGTCGTAGGGCAGCGTAGAGCAGCGTTTTGGGCTACTAAGAATGTATATACAGGGGTGGCCAAAAAAAAGTCACTTTGACCAAGTCACATATCAACGAAGTTTTCGCAGCCCAGACAGGGGAAGTGGATATGAGTACCAGAGTGGAAGATACCCAAGATCTTCCTCTATAAGCTGGAGCAGGCTGCCGCCAATCGCCTTCATGTACGCCAAAATATGAAGTCATCTCCAGTCGCGGCCTGACTGGAGAACACCTTTGGAATTCACGTCGCCTCCAAACAGCTGCGAAACTTGAATGAAGTCATCCACAGATAGCTACCTGGAGGTCAGTACTCTTGATCTGCAAGACCTCCCACATCGAGCAGCTTCCTCACTTCGCTACGGTCTAGCGAATCATCTTAGCCGTTGTTCGCGAAGGTCCACGAGTTGCATGCTATGGACGGTTACCTGGAAAGGGGAAGAGACCGATATTTTCTTTGTAGACCCCGACTGAAGGTGAGCGCTGGCGGTTACATCAAGTAACTCGAGAAGAATATCCTCCCTACATGTGGTCGCCCGTACCTTCTTGGAGACCTTGTGCTGCTACAGGTTTGGGTGCCACCACATGGAATCAAAGGGTTTTGGAAAAACTCCCGCCTACTTCGAATGGAAGGGCGTTTCGTACCTGAAGAAGATGTAATATTGAAGTATGTCCCCTGACCTGAACCCACTCAATTACCTAGTTCGGGCGGACTTCAAGAGGGTGGTCTACGGTGGCGGAGAAATCGACTACCTTCGCTGATCTCAGGTACCACATCGCGGTCGCGTGCCAGAATCTCTCGATGGCGTTCGTCCAGAAGGCTGTGGCGGAGTGTCGTGATAGTACTTAATATGCTCTTCAATATGGTAGTAAAAATGTCCGATCAGAATTTGATAAAGTGTAATTTATAGCGCCTCGAAAGTCAATGAGGCAAAGTGACTTTTTTTTTTTGGCCCCCCTGTATATCGATCTTAGCCTCGTGAGCGTGCGCAGGCGTTCCTGGCGATTGGCACGAGAAAAGCCTTAAACTACCCGCAAAACGCTGACGCAAGTGTGAACGCACCCTAAGACAGCGTTCATGCTTCGCGACAGCTGCGGCGATCGCCGCGATCGTCGGTACGTGACAGAGCGCGCCCCAACTCTATTACTTGGACTGCTCGCTTGATAAATAAGGAAATCCAACTTGTGAGACCTTTCTTTTCTCTTAATAATGGCTACTGACTGAGAACTTGTTACTTCCTGTGCTTGAGAGGATCTGGAATATGAGGGAGGGGAGGGGGAGGTTCACCTTTTTTAGATCGGAAAAGGGCAGCTTCATTTCATAGGTGAGGTTCTTTTTTTGTTTTCATTGTTTCAGTTTATATAAGTGTTTTAAAAGCTTCCTATCGGCTAAACTGTTCCAATTGCCCAAATATTTATCGTTCACAAGTTGAGTAGCACGAGTAACAACGAAAAAAAAGAAACAGCAAGAAACTCACCTAGAAACCTAAAACACTAATTCTTTGATGCAACATCAGTGAGGAGAAATCTTATAACTTCGTGTACCAGCTCGAAAAATAAGGAATAAGAAACCTACCCTAGATGAAGCTCTCACGCTTTTTGCTCATTTCTATCCTGAATCAAGAAAGAAAATAGAAAACAAAAGCCATTAAGTTGGGTTCACCTTTCCTTGTGTCAAACCAAGCTTTAGTACCTGAGACAATTGCAATTAAAAAAAAAAAAAGCATGAAATTGAGTCGCTTCTTCCCCAAAAGCACTCGGAGCGGTCCAAGTAATAGCGTTGGGGCGCGCTCTGCCATGTACCGACGATCGCGGCGATCGCTACGATCGCCGCGATCGCCGCTGCTGTCGCGAAGTATGAACGCTGTCTAACCTTCCGCATTCATGTTGGTTTTACATACTCTTGGTGGCTTTAACTTTTGGTAATACAGAACAATGCTGGATATGTTGATGGCGTCAGCGACGAATACGTCAAAACGGACCAGTCGGCCACCATCGGAGTTGTCATTGGATGCGCGTGCTCTCCATGATCAATTGCCGGATATTGACTTCTTGCGAGCCAATATGATCATGTTCCCCTTAGGTGAAAAGCGATCCCACGAGTCCTGAATAAGTTGTTTCCATGTATCGAATTGTTCATACACTTTGTTTTCTCTTAGATCCCTACGCGAATATATTGAAGATTTTCTAGGTATTTTTAAGTTGTTCTCTTCTTTCCAAATGCGCAGCAAATTTTTGGGGTCACAGCTTACTAGTATTACTCTGATGTTGTGATTTCGGGTTGTGAACGTATATATTTTTCCGGTGTGCTTTTGTGAAAATCGATAGAGCAGTACAGAGCAGCGCATCGCTTCTAGTCTAACATATCATCAGCTGAATTTGTGATTCGATTGATTAATATTAATTTATTAATCGTTTCTTTTTGGTGTATGGTATGTGAAGTGCCTCAGTTCGCATGTCTCTCGAGACTCTAGGCTGTCAAGTTTTGAAGAGTCGGACATTGATCATTGTTCAAATGTTTCTTTGTGCCTTTGTCAAGTATTTCGACATGCTTAATCCCTCTCAAGAGTTTGTGTCTATATTTTTCTAACTCTATCCAGACGTGACCTATTAGATCAATATTGACTCTGTCGCTATATTTCAAGAATTGTATCTGTGATAAGAATCGTTTTCGAGCTTCTGGTGTGAAGGTCACATGAATGAGCTTAACGTACGGAATCCACGTCGTTGAGAGCAGTATTATGAGGCCGCTGCAGTTGTTTCGCGTCAGCAAAAGGACGGTGTAAGTTAAGTCAAAAATTACTCTTTTCTTTAGGTCAGGGCACGTCCAACATTGGGGCATCCCAGGGGAGGGAGGATCACGTTTGCCTCTGAAAGAAATCGTGTTGATGCGAAAAGACATTTTCCCGGTCGCTGACTGCTTTATTTTTACGCTTTTAGTACGACCTCTGCTCGACGGCTAAATTTTTCGGAGAAAAAAAGGAACCTTATTGGGAAGATTTCTGGGAAATAAGTAGGCTGGGAGCCGTTGGAGGATGGCGGATAGTTGGATGTCGCGGCAGAGGGAGAAACTTGAGGGGGGAGGGTCGTCTTCCTCTAAGACTTTTTTGCTCAGTGACGGAAGTTTGCCCTGGATGTCACCCTCATAGTAATAGTCTGAAGCCTCCCTGATTGGACCGCCCACCACAGTCAGAGGGCGGTTCTCTCACGGGCTTTCATTCTTGCCCGTGTCCTTCTCTTATTTTCACCTTAAATATATTTGTAATTAGCAATGTGAGTTACACGAAGAAATGATTTAGTGTTATGCGGGATGGCTTCTTGCTAATCTAAAACGAATAACCTTTCGCAGAATTCGTGCGTGAGACTGCAGATGTTTGCTACTCAAGGTGTTTTCATATTTATTCTGCTTTCTTCCCCACCCTGAGTCACTTAGCCTATTAGCGGTTTTAACGGAGGTGCATTGTCCACGAATGCGGCAATCATAGGGGGTTTGTCGTTGAAATAGCACGTTGCCGTGACGGGCAGAGCAATCGTTGGGGTTTGTCTTGAATGCACTTCTGTGACGGCAGATTGGTAACAGAGTTTAAAAACAGGAGTGCGTTGTGTTAGTTGCCTTGCTAGTGAAGAAAAAAAAGTACCACCTTATATGGCCCTTCTTCTTGCACTTGATCATGGTCACTAAGGAGAGTAAGGTGATCAAGGTCAACAGTGATAACCTGAAGGTGAATTGCAAAGCGCGAAGAGGGGCCAGAAAATGAGGCGAGAGAGCACAACGGCATTTTACGTCGACCTGTCTTCGCAGTACAGGTTTAATGGCAGTTGGCACAGTAATTTGGTACTCGGCCTTAAAATGCTAGCAGGGCCTATATAGTGGGGAAAATGGTGAAAAAACGAAGTGAAACGGTCAAAAACCTGCGAAGAAAAGCCTTCGTTCTTAATGACTCAAAAAGCAATTTTGGACGAGTTTCCCGTAGGCATCTTGCCAATAACCGCTACGGTAGGTATGACTGCAAGTATGTACTCATATATCCGTTCATACTAATCTCTTCGCTTCATATTTTACTTCGCAAATGAAGCAATACGAGCGTCAGGAACGGTCGTCCATTTGTGGGCGGGCGGGCGGTGGGCGTTCGGGTCGGTATGTTGTAGCTTGACAGGGCCTTATAAGGGCACCTTTCGTGGAAAAGCGCTACGCAGCCTCATCTCAGAGTCGTGGAATTCTGTCCTGCCAGGCGTATTAATCCTCATCTTAAGGGGTT